ATTATTCATAAAGAGCTGGAACTTCGGCCCGGAATGAGAGGTATCACCAGCAGCTTCTAGAATATGTTAAATCAGTGCCTTGACTACTTCATTGTTACTCAGATTTCCTGCTGTAAAGTGTGCTCTCCGTCAATGCAGTGACATATCCAAGTCCTCAGAGCTTTTCCATTCCATGGGGCATCATCCCATTGGTCTGATGGGCATTTCATCCTTGCCAGGCCTCCAYATCCCAGGCCTATGGGGCAAACCTTGGCCATGTACCACAGGTGTGTTCCTTGTGGTGTTGGTAAGAGCTATTCCAGCCTAGTGTCTCTCCTGGTGACAGCTCTAAGGACTAAGCTCTAAGCTCTGACAGACTCTAAGGACTGCTGGGTTCGGAGGTGTGTCCCTCAGGTGCTGTCTGCACCTCTTCCAAAGATAGGTGACTTTATCCAAGGATCTGTAACTTCATTCATGCATAATTGAACTTCCAAGCTCCAGTGGACGGTCACAACACATCCATGTAGAAAATGAGATGTGATTTCTTAAATGCAATAAATTTGTTCTGTACATCCATTGCAGCATGAATTCTGGTGGATTTTTAAAATGTTAACAGATGTGCCTGGAAGCTGCTCATGCTGTACTTTAGGCTGCTCTCTACAGTTCCTAAGCAGAAAATACATGAAGAATTTAGTGTATTCATAAGGTATTTTAGTACATGGCAACAAGAAGCCTTTGGATCTTATTGTTTTATTAGATGAGATCTTGATCTTTGGCAAAATCAATGCACAAGAGATTCCAGAAAAGGGAAGAATTTAACCTCGCTTTTAGCTTAGGGTCATTTTACCTTGACAAATACTCCAAGTTAGAAGTAGAAGAAATAAATTTCAGACTTACTTTACTTCCAGAGTAAGTAAATGTGGAGAAAGAACTCCACATTAATATAAATGATGTTTCCTCAATCTGAAGTAACACCAGTCTGACATTTTTGAGTTCCTTGCATGGTTCCTAATTCAAACAAGCCCTTACCGTGAGTGATGCTTTCCATTTTTTTCCAGGGTACTGAAAGTTAAATAACAAATGAGAAAACCTGAGGCATTGTTTGTGTCACCATTTGCAAGCACTTAACTTAATAAGCCACAGGAGCCATTTGCGTGGTGGGAAGTTTTGCTAGGAAAATCCCAGGGGCTAAAGAAAAACAAAAACCACCAGACTGAATGGAGCTGGCTTCAATGGCTGTGCTTCCCAATAATAATGAGCCTCTGTTCAGAAGCTAGAAATTAGCCCTTTTTGCACAAGGGTCAGCACTGGATGCTGCGTGTTCATGCACTGCCACCCACTGATAAGTGGAATAAATAGGCATCTGGAAAAGTCACTGTAGTCTCATGGCTCMATAGCCCAAATGGGAAGCCTGAGTTGTCTGCACAGGTCCACAGGTCTGAATGGGTTGGTATGTGTTTCTTCTGCCAACACCATTACCACCCAAGCGTTGTTTGCACTGCTCCAAGTGCTGGCAGAGTCACAAGGGGCAGTGATGACTTACAACAGCTCCTCAAATCAGGTGGGAAGTTGACCTTTTTCTTTTTCTTTTTCTTTTTCTTTTTCTTTTTCTTTTTCTTTTTCTTTTTCTTTTTCTTTTTCTTTTTCTTTTTCTTTTTCTTTTTCTTTT